ACTATGGGGAGGTCCCCAAAGTGCACTTTTGTTCATCTAGTCAGTCATCAATTTCACCAGCTCAGCGTCTTGGCTGGCAGCTCCTTGAGGTTTGCAGAAAATAGCAGGGCATGTTGATGTTTTTTGTTGCACCAGCTGGAACTAGAACCAGACAGGGCGATGTTTCTGGTTTCATGGGCACATTACAGCCTTCCTTCCCTTACAAACACAGGGGCTGCATTGCTTGCTCAGAGTAATGCAGTGCATGTCACGGTCTGAGGGGGCTATGGGATAGGGGAGAAGCCAGTGTGTTTTGGCAGAGGGTGGTAAGCAGTAATGCCTCATGCAGGTGATGGTGGATGCTCAGTGTGATCTTGAGATCAGGTCTGGTTTGCTGAGGGACCAGATCTCAGGGGGTGGACACAAATCCTCAGTGCTGTTAGATAATGATGCTTTGACCAGCTGACCAAACACCCTCAGGTAAAAAATAATCTTAGCATTTGTTTCCCTGCACTGGGACTGCCTGTACAGCAAATACCCTGTGTGGGTGATAAAGGTGGATTGTACACTGTCACTTCCTTTGCCTGTCATACATTTTCCTTAGTGAGACAAGCAGGATGAGAGAAAAATCTGTTCCTGCAACGTGAGCTCAGGCAAAGCTGATCTCACTCTGAGAAAGTATTAGCTTCTTAATTTGTGCTATTGAAACTGTTCTGCGAACTTCCATTTGGTTGGGAAAGGAACTACAAAGTACAACAACTGCCATGCAGGGGAGGCTGCAGATGGCTCAGTAGTAACACACATACTGTACACCTGCACATGTTTGGCACAGAAGGGTTTGAGTGCAGATTTGTGAGCTAGCCAAGGGAAGACAGATTTATTTTTTTGAGGAGGCAGGAAGATCAGATCACCTCCAGGTGCTACCCTGATAAACACTGAGAATAACTCACCCGTTCTCTACAATTCTTCTATGATCAACTTCATCCTTGAGATAGGAATTAGAGAGATAGATACATTATCTGGGAAGTTGTCCAGATTCATTTCCGAGGGAGTTAAATTCCCAACACAAGGAAGGTTGGTTGGATTTTGTGGGGATTTTTTCCACTTGGTTTGTTTAGGGGGAAGATGGTATTGATTGTAACAGTGTTGTAGGCAACTGGGACATTAGGCACAGTTCAAATTCCCTCAGTTCTTCCATGGCTGAAAGTTTTTGGGGACCTTTTGAGGAGAGAGGCAAACTTCTCTTGCATTTTGCATTTTAGTTTCACTCTTCAAATTAAAACTCGAAGACATTTTGTAAAACAACCAAACACTAATCCCCCTCTATAGCATCCAGAAGAGAAAGAGACCTCCTCCAGAAATCTGTCTCAGTTAGGAAAGAAGCTCTGAGGGGATTTTCCACTTGCTCCAGGAGGCTTTGAGTTCAGCCTGTGCTAGAGAGAATGGCAGCAAGTTCCTCCCCATACCCCAGCAGTCAGCAGCAGAAAATGGGAGGTGAGCAGGAATGGGGTTAAACGATCACCACATTTCCTCATGCCATGTACCTGTAGGATGCCACACAGCCCACAGTCCTACCTAGCTGCGTCTTTTAAGTCCGGTATAACCTGGCTTCCTTAGGTTGGACATATCCCTGCAGGAGGCAGGCATCACATCATACAGTCCCCGAGCTTCTTTGCTTGAAGCAAGTGCTGCTACACCGGGCTGTGTTGCACCACCTGCATGTGCCCTTCTTAAAACATCCTGGGATCTCCACCCTTGAAAGAAATACATGCAGAAGGAGAAAGCTAAGAGATGTTCATTGTTGGTCCTGTTGTTTCAGCTATAGCCCACAGGGGTAAAGCAAAGTCCTTTCTTTACAAGGTGGTCACAGCAGTTCAATCTTAGTTCCTTTTTAAACCAGTGATTAAACTGATGCAAAGCACAGTGTGTTCACTCTCAGTTCAGTTTAACATTGGCTGACATTGATGACACCTTGCATCGATTTTTGTCTGTCTAATCTAAATTGATATAACCCTGATTTCAAATGAACTAAGCTATGAGTGTTATGCACTCTTTACATTCATGAATTTAAAAGAAAAACCTTTGACCAAAAGGCTGCAGGTTTGTCACAAAGGCAAAACTCACAACTCAATACTTATTTTGACAGTTCTTTCATTAACCTTCACTATAGACAGCTGAGGATAGTTATTTGGGAAGCAGAGTGGTTAATACTTTGCCTAAGTAAATATACCGTACAAACAACCACGAAAGACATGCTTATTTTTTGCAGTAAGAACGAGAAATAATGGACCAGATAATTCATCTAGATTACTTTTCATCATTCTAAGTAAGCTTCTCCATAGAGAAAATTAACACCAGAGTAAACCTAATGCTACATGAAAAGACAAAGATGTTACTTCTGTCCACATCTTTTCATGTTCTTAAAGGCTTCAGTTCTGGCCCTCGTCAGAAGCAAGGTGCTGAGCAGGATGAACTATTGATCACACTCAGCACTGCCATATGTATGGGGCTGTGAACAAGCAGAGCTAGAGGAGGGAAGGAGGAAGTAAGCAAAGAGGAAATAGAAACCTAGAGAATCAAGAGGGTCAACTGCATAGAAAGTTTTCTCAAGGGTTTGATTGGTAGCTGGTGTGCTTTGCCTTGGGAGAAGTTGGGAAATAACAAGGACCAAAAGCTGTGGTGCACAGAGGTTCACATTCACAGTGCTTGTCTGCTAGTGTTCTGGCAGTGCCTGACACAGACACCTCTGGACAAAGGCTGTCACGTGTCCACTCCTTCCGAGTTTTGGGACAGCCTTAAGCAAATATTAGCCAAAAGAAGCCAAGTTATCTCTGGCCCAGGAGCAATGTATCCAATTCAGCTTGGGTCTAGTTCTCAACTGTACCTTGCTGGGGTGACTGCAGTCCTGCAGGGGCAACACCCTCTATGGGATGAAATGTTTGCAATTGCAGGCACTGGCCTTCAGCAAAAAAATGTCAGCTGATTCATTTCTTTCTGAAAAGCAGGACTGCTACGTGCATGTGGCTGTGCAGATAGGAGAACCAGCCAATTCAAAGTCATGGGTGTATGTTTTTTAAAGGAAAATAACAAAGTTCCCTTCTCTTTACAATTGTTTTTAATATCTCCCTTTCCACATGCTCATCACATGTGTTGGCTCAAGATCACATAATGCAAAAATTGCAAATTCTTTGCAGTGCTCAGCCTTCCATGCACATTTATCAAGCTCAGTCTGGTAAAATCCAACAAGAACCAAGAAAGAAATCTCAGAAAAAAGTGTTTTCAGACCTTAAAATTCCACTATGGAGAAGAAAAAAAAAGCCTAAAAAGTATAAATAACAAATCATCAAACTCACCACAGCTGTATTCCAGCAGGTTGATAGGTTCTACAGCTTCGAAAGGGTATCTTAACCTTACAGAGAACATGGCTACCATTTTCAGGTGCCAAATTACAACCATCCTTGAGGTTTGGAAGCTAGAAGCACAGTGCTTAGTTAAAGCAGACAACTCTGTTCCAGTCTGGTAGAAGTGATAAAATACATAGTGAAACTTGAGAGAGTGAGATCCTCTCTTTCTCTCCTACTCCCCTTTTTTGCTATATTTTTCCTCTGGTGGGTTGAGGTACCCAGTTGGAGCTCCCAAAATAGAGGAAATCCAGGCAGAAGAGCCTATGCAAGTCTATCAGCAGCCTGCTTTGCCACTGGGCTGACATGTAAAAGTTCTTGGGGTTCTCACTCCTTCCCCCCCTAGTCTTGGCCTGGTTTGTATTTTTCAGGATAAATATGGAATAAAGAGCCTGTCCCTTTAATGCAGATGAAGTGAGAAGGGCAAAACTGTTCCCAAAAAGTCAGTAAAAGTGGTAATGCCTATTAATGATTGCAGCAGAGTGCTTTTCAGTTGCCCTATTAAAGGAGCTCTTTGTCCTAATAAATACCAACGAAAAAGCTTTGTCTCAGAGCACCTTCCCTGTACTTTATTTATAATGAGCCTTCTAATGAGTACATAGTGTTTATGCTTCCTTGAGAGACTCATCACTCCCTCTCTCAGTCTGTTGTTTAACATACAGTACTCCATGAAGGTGTCCCACTCATCCCAAATGCTTCCCCACCCCCACCCACACAAGCCTCCACATACTGCTTGTTTCAAGGGCGTTATGCATCTGTGAAGGAAAAGTAAGCGCTGGAAGAGAAACAGACATCCCAAATTTTTCTCATGACAGTCAGAAAGAGAAGCTGGTGGCTGGAGTTGTCATCATGACAACATGGGCCCATCAAGGGCGGCTCTAAAGCCTTTCCTATGTGTGTCTCAATCAGAAGAGTGTGTTTGCACCACTATTTAAACAGGTCACATAACAGTCTGTTACACCTGGTAAAATACTGAGTAAACCACAGTAGTTTGACTCTGTTGGCTGTATGTCTCAGCCCTCAATAGCTACTACTGATTCACAAGACCCAGAAACACTCAGCCACTGAGATTAGTAGGTATCCTCCTGATAGTAATGTGAAAAAAAGCAAGTCTGTTAATCTTCGATGGGTAGTTTTAGGGAAATTGTTGTGACAAAGAGCTCAGTTGTCAAGCCACATTTTTGCCAAAGCTCCTCATGGCTGTAATTTGCCATGGCACTTTCTATATCTGGCTGTTTCTGGGTGTGACACAAGCTGCATTAATAACTCTGTGAGGCACTGTGTGGTTTTCCATTGCCGTTTGGAGTCATGCCTTGAGATTGTGGTATCCTACAGGACACATCCCCAGTGTGTTCTTGTGACAGAACAGAAGTAATTTATGTTACTAGGGTGCCTGGAAAAAAAAAAAAAAAAAAAAAAAAAAAAAAAAAAAAAAAAAAAGAAAGAGCCTATTATAAGGTTGTTCCATTGCCTTAGGCCAGAACATAGACTCTGAAGACTCTCTCTTATCCTCTGTGTTTTTCCTTTAAGCTTTGAAACAAGGACTAAAAGGGTTTCCCATCCTTAAGCATATCAATTCCCTATCCTTGTTCTGAGCCTCTACAATGCCTGTTTCCACAGGAGACCAAATTTAAGCACAAGAAGATTACATAAGGAGGCTCAGTATCAATGTTCGACATTAAGAAGAGTCGTGTATTTGCTGCCCATCATTGACAAACCACCATCAGCATAAAATCACAACAGCAATATTCTTTGTGGTGCCTAGCACCTTGGCATTTAGAAAGTCAAAATTGTGTTTGGGGTGAAGAATTCATGGGAATAAAAGGACTTTCTGATCTGCAGGCATCAAAGAAATATGCTTCTCAAATATTCATCAAGTATAACTCCTGTTTTTTCAGCGCTTCATGCAGCACGGCAGATTCATGATTCCCTTGATCTCTCTGAAGGGAGACTCCCAGGCCTCTCACACCTAACCTTTGGCTTTGAAATCTGCTGACCAGGAAAAGGAGAGCTCCTAAAATAAGGTGGTGTGTTCTATGTAGCAAAGGCTTGAACCTTTTGTTCTTCCGGAAGCTCTCTGGGAATCAGTAAGGCACAAGTTTGAACTCTTTAGCAAGTGCATAGCCAACTTCTATAACAGCCAAAACTTGCATGTTATGTTCACATTCAGCTTCAGACATGACACAACTCAATAATCCATCCTGGAGCTGACAAAAACCATCTGATCCTTGTCTGGACCATGTTTCCAAGCAAGCTGAAGAGAAAATAAAGTACTTTGAGGAACAGATGATACCTTGCTGAGAAAAGGAAAAAAATATGTCTCTGAAGCCTCTGCACTTCCCTGTGTCTGTTCACCCACTCTCTCTTTTCACTTTTCTCTGTATGAGAAACAGGTTTCCAAAGGAAAAAGAACAGCCTATATCTCACCTGGAGAGAAGGGAAGAGAACCAGATTTATTGATTTCTTGTCACAGAATTGGCCAGCATACCACCAAAAATGGGACCCTCATCTTTCAGGAAAGACCGATAAGGAACATCCTCAAGGTTCGACAAGATGTGAGGAAGCAGTCACAACCACAAGGCTCAAAATATAGCCATCCTTACAGCTCCTGTGGATTTTTCAAATTTGAAACTGTGTGCCTCAGTCTCATAACTGGCAATTACTGCTGACTGATAGATCATGGGGATGAAATTAGAAGTGAGATTCACTTTCAGTCTTGATGTGGGACCTGTCTTTTCCATTGGAGCATAATACATACACACAGTAAATGTATATCTGTTGTAATCATAAAGCATACAAATAATTTATGAGACTAAAAAAAATGGTGTGTTTTTTCCTCAAGAACAAGAAAGGCACATTCATGTCTAAGGTTTTGTTTGGCTGTTATAAATGACATTTATATAAATGACATTTGATGGCAGGCATGTGCATATACATCTATATGTTTCTGTGTGTAATGATATATTCTGGGTCACTGAAATCACATGGACATGTCTCCCACCTCCCAGTTTTTCCACACAGCATGCTCTCACACAGTTCCCTGAAACTTGCCAAGTCCTACAATATTTGTATATTAGTTATTCTTTCATTACAAGTACTCTGCTATGGCTAATGAACCTGTACCTCACTCCCTGAATAGCAAGAAAAGTTATTTTGGTGGGCTGCTTCCATCTGACAACATTTACAGTGTGTACCCAGGAAGATCTAAAGCATTAGTAAAGCTAAATGCCAGAAAGAAGAGAATTTGGATTATCTGCATTGAGCAGATCATGGATTCACAACAGCAGAAGGGGATGCTTTCTTACATCAGCTTCACCAAATGTCCAGTGAATTTTCTACACAGTAAATAAAGTTTTTTCTTGTAAGAATGGTGCTGGGAGGAATTTATTTTTTCTGGCAATTGCATGTCAACTGTTCAACTTATCAAGAGAAAAAAGCTGTCTTAAATTGCTCTATTAGCTTACTGAGGAAGAAAGCATCCATTTTAGCACAAAACCATATATGGCTGTTCTTTGACCAAGAGAGACCTTTGTTGATCTAACTACTTCCAGAAGTTATTTTATTCCCATCAATTTGTTTCTATTTCATCACCTAAGCAAACAACATTCAGTAGTCTATTTTTTTTTTAAGGTATAGGCTTTTGCAGCGCCTTTCATCTTGTCTGCATTTTGTATGAACAGTACTTTCTGAAGTTCTTCTGGAAGGGGGAGAAGGTTGTGGGGAATAGATGGAATGGACACACCACCACTAATTTGACTTTTCTTCAGCAACATGAAGCACTGAAATTAACTATTCCAGTTGTACCTCTGTCGCTATAGGACACGAGAAAGCAATGCGAGCCACTTGCTACTTTGCAAGGCAAAAAAGAGAGTGTTTATTTTCTGACTCCAACTTTTATACTTCTCCAAAGGTGACAGTGGATTGGAGAGTGAACGGGCCACCTCTCCGAAGACATTGGACAAAGCACTAGTACATCAAGTTTCTCCACCTCCATGGAGGAATGCAAAACAATACGTTATTTACAGAAACTGTGTGGGAAAGTTTCCCAATAGAATGTAAATTCAGAAGGCTTAAGAAAACTCAAGAATCAGGGCGACATACCTCTGTTCATTTCTTGATGCTGGGGAGGTTGAGTAGTAAGGGGGAGTTCCTGGCTTTTTCCCCTCCTACTCCTAACTCTGACTGAAATATATTATTATATTTAAATAATGGATCCCTTAGTCCTGTCTGCTCTGCAAGCTGATGCTCAAGTGGTTGTTTCTTTATTGTAAAGTTGATAACTCAATTTTTAAATGCAGAGCCTTCACAGCAAGCAACTGAATGGCTGGCCAGATGGCTGGGTTGTTATTTGGGAGTCCCTGAACTATCAGCTCCTTAGTCATCAAGGTTCTCCAGTTATTGTCATCTCCCACTTACATGTGTCTCCATTGATTCATATCAGTTCCACAAAGGGCCATTTGTTAACTTAGCCCTAAGGAACAATGATAGCAAAAATGTATGGGAATAGCTATTCACAGTAGCCAAAATTGGCCCCTACCATTGCAGCCAAGGTTTGTTCTTGCTTTTGTCATTGCAGGTTCAGCAGTTCACAGTAAATGGCATTCAGTATCACTAGGGACCAAAAAAAAAAATCATCAGCAAGGCATTGGTACAGACTTCTAAAAGCAAGACTGTCAGGGAGCCACTTCTTAATCTCATTTGAATTCAAATGCAGCTTTACATGTGTTGGATGCATATGTTTTTTCACATTAAGATGTAAAGTTTATACAAATCCGAGGTGTGAATGGTTCCCCTGAGTGCTGATGACAAATATTCCAGTATCAACACTTAGCTGCTAAGCTTACCTTAAAACTTGCTGGGGTGATAAGCTGCTGGTAATTTCTCTGCCAGCATTAGACGGAAACAGCAGAGCTCCTGTGCACTTCTCACAGTGACTAACTGGAGCACAGGGTATGTATGAACTTTCCTTCTCCTGCAGTTCCAGCTGGCTGGTAATTCATGATTAAAGATCTACAACATGAGAAGTCGCAGCCCAGAATCATTGAAGGAAGTTGAAAATGAAAATCTTGAGAGTCCTGGGAGTAGATAGCCATGGTCTTATGCAAAGGAACCAGGAAAGTCAATTAATCGTTCTTGACTGGGTGTATAGATACTGATTTTTAAAAAATTATTCACAAATACTCTCCGTAAGAAAAGTTCCAACAAGATTTCTATAAAGGAAATGGCAAAAGAAGTAAAAGGCAGAAAAAATATTAACTTATCTCTACTTTTAAATGTCTCCTAGATATCTTGGTATTTCACTGATGGGCGTAGGAGAGATAAGAGAATGCCCAGTTTCCACAGATAACTTTATCTGGTATAGTCCCCAAAGTGATCTCAGAGCAGACAAGGAGAATAAACAATTTAACTAACAGGACTCTTTCCTCTGCAACTTCTTTAACTCTTGATGATCCATAACACTTTAGTGGGGACATAAAGCTTTTTTAACAATAAAAATCTAAGGCAGTTTTGCAAATCAAAACCTAGGGGCCTTCAGCCAGAATCCCAAGAACCCAAATAATTTCTATATCACATTTCATTACAGGAAAGCTTAAGGAATTTCCACATGAAAACTGAAGGAATGAGTCTGAGCAACTGTTTAATATCAAAATGTCAGTAGAAGAGGATTTAAAATACATCATCAAAATTACTAGTAAATTCTTATATTCATGTGCTGATACCCAAACTCCTGAAGAAAGTCAAACATACAAAACTGGTCTTCATATTAGAGGTACAAAAAGGGTACAAAAAGGTACAGAAGTGTTGCCACTATTGAAAAAAGGCTCTGCAGGGGAGCTTGTCCAGAAACTACAGGCAAATTGTCTGAGTTCCACACCAACTGTGAGTAAGAAAGTAATCCATTTACATATAGATAAATTCGTTATAATGGTATGGCCAACAAAGCTTTTCAGGAAGGAACTCACATCATCAAAATTTATGGAGGTCTTCAAAGGGTGAACAGATAGAAAAGGACAATGTCATTGATAAAGTTTACTTGCATATCCAAAAGTTTTTTTTATGAAGCCTTACATCAAAAGATAAGATTCTCATGAGGGGTGGTGACTTGGTAAAAGACAGAAAGCAGAGAAATATATGACAAGATTTCACTGAGGGAGGTCTAGTGGAATCGCACAGTGATGTGTAGTGAAACTATATTCACAAAATAGGATGAAAGCCTCAGTAAATAATGAAGTATGTTGATGTTACTAAATAATTCAAGGCAGCAAAAATGCAATTTGTCTGCGAAGAGTTCAGATATATCTCTTGATATTGAGTGCCTGGAAAATAAGGGCAAAGTAAATTTGATTTTGACAGTTGTGACGTACCATGCATGAAGAAAACAGCATCTATATGTGCACACATACACACAGTGTGTTCTGGCTGAATACGAGCCTCTCAGGAAAAACATGTTGTGTCATGTGGACAAGGCTCTGAACACATCCCTTCAGTGCCTATCATCTGCTAAAACAGCATATAAATTGTTAGTAATTAGTAGGAAAGAAACCAAGGGCAAAAAAGAGAAAGCATCAATACATGTACTGTATAAATTGTATAAAAGTTTTGTGTTGCACCCACCACCATGAAAAGGAATTACTTGAGAGACAAAGTGCAGAGCAGGCAACTGGGATGACTGGGGCTTAGATAAAACTTCCATACAGGAAGAATAAGGTCACATCTACATTAGAAGGTAATTGGGTGCTGAAGGGTAGACTGACAGATCAAAGCAATTGCTGTTGAGAGCTCTGCTCCTGGAGGGAAATCATTTCAGGCCAGATATAGTTCAATCACCTGGGCTGAATGTCCTTCCCCAACATGGGGGCCAAAGCTGACTGCAGAATCAGTGGTGGGTTGGACCCTTCTGTTTCTGGTAAGACTTGGAGCATGTTTATAGCAACCCTGGATCAGAGCTGCTAGTCTGGCACAGCCAGAAGCAACCAAGCAATGTACAGTACATTAAAGTAGTTACTTCAGATATCACTTTGAGTAAAAATGCTAATGCAGATGCAGAGTGGTTGGATTGTTGTGTGTTTGGGGTTTTGGTCTTTTTAAATTGCATAGGATTTTCTTGTTCAAACCAGAAAAAAGGTGGTTGCAAATAGCTATAATAGAGGTCTATAAAATTAAAGATTACTTAGGAAAGGTAAATGAGGAATAACAATTCCCTCTTTCTTCTATTATAAGAAGTAAAGATATCTAATGAAATTATCAGGCAACAGGCTTAAAGCAAAAGGAAGTACTTTTTTACACACTGGATAATGAAATTGTGGAACACATTACCCAGGATGCTTGCAAGGCCAAAACCATAAATGAGTTCAAAAAGAAATTATACAAATTAATGGAAGAAAGGTCCATGATAGATTAAACCTGATAATGTAGATGCAATTTTTAGGCCAGGAAGAGTCCCACATATTCTGAAGCTACAACCACTGTGTACATTCTTTATTCTTGCTCCTCTACCTGCCACAGTCAGAGGCATGATGTGTGCTCTGGCCTAATTTTCTTCTCAGGAACTGTATCTTAAGGTTTCTGTGAGCCTGTATAGCCCAGTCTGCAAAGTTTAAGCACAAAACTGTCATCAGATTTAACCCCTCACACATTTGTGGTCTTTTGATGGCAATTCAGCTCTCCATTTTGGCACCTTCTGGTTTTAAGCTCTCTCTGATTATCACAGATGTGTCATGCAACAACTCCTGTGTGCACATTCATAAGGACTAGCTCAGACTATGTTCACCTTGGCTGGAACACCTTTCAGATAGCTCAGTTCAGTTGTACTTCCTGAGCCTGAGGAGCAGTCTGACAAGAGTGAAAACAGCGAAAAGGTGGTAACAGACACTTTGGCTGTTCAGTAGCAAATTCTGTAGCCAGAAGAGCATCTATAGAGTAGAATTAATGGTGCTGAGCATTCTGTATCTGCACTATATGTCTTTCTGTGGGGTTTGATTTAAACTAGCTTGATTTAAACTAGTCTGATTTAAACTAGCTTGATCCCAAAGGTATGAATACTGTGGACTGTTGGATCACACATAGTGTACTGCTGGAGCGCATGCTGCAATTGAGTTTCATCCAAATAATCCAGTTTGCACACTCCAAGACCACACAACAGTAAGAACAAAAGCATGGTGTGGGGGCAGCCAGGAGTTTTATTGCAGCAATGCATGCCTGATTCAAACTCAAATACTCTTCTGGTACCCCCACTGACTACTACGAGAAGGGTTTGTAAGGAGTTATTGTCAGTGTGCCATAGGGTAAGAGTTCAACCTACTGTGAACAATTAAAGTTCTTCACATTATTTCCCTTCTTCTCCTTT